CGAGGAATTTCTCCAACCATTAGGTACCATGATATAAAATTATTAAAACTAAAAAAAACAAAGAAATGCAACCGATCAGGCGTGTTTTTCGCTTCTAGGAGTAGTTCCTACTTGGAAAGGTAGTTTCTCGTAGATATAAAATTCCGATATCCTTTTTTTGGTTATCACTACTTATAGTCCCGGTTCAAAGAAACTCAAATCTTATTCTCAAAACACTTGTGGAAAAAGTCGGACGTTAAAGGGTTATGGGGGAAGAGAAGTCGCGCCGTTATCTTTGCGCTTAAATCGAATACGGATGAAATTCCGAGGTTCATACAAATGGACGACACACACGGGAACGTCCGCGCAGCTTCCTGCACCGTCGCTGTTGGCGTTCCGATCAGCGAGGACGATCAGCTGTGTTACGGGACCCACCCACACGCTCGCGCGGTTACACGTACGGCGGGAGAGACCGCGTCTTCTAAACGCGAGACCCGACCGCAACCACGCAAATGGTCCGGTGTAAGACGTAATCGGGACAGTTCCCCTTCGGAAGAAGTTAATGCCGACGAGAGCGTTACGCTTCTTGCGATCTCGCTGCGCTATATAGTACTCCGACTCGGCCGACGACGACGACGACGATCGACACCTTCGTCGTGCTCCCCTTTGTTGTCCTCCGAGCGTAATTTTTATACGTGGCTCGACAAGCGGGACAATATGCAATTTTTGTCACGAGTATGATAAATTCTCCGGAAACCGAAGAGTTTCGTGTGTGTCATGCACTGAGAAGAAGACTTTTATTGTCACTTTTATTGTAACAACTGAAGGCTTGCCGTTTCATAATTGTACGAAGAACGAAAAATCGAGCAGTTACCGCAGGAAATCATTTTTCGCTATTCGTTACTTCAACAAGTATGTATTACTGGAGATGTAAATCATACATGTTTAATAGCTTAATATATGCAGGGTGTCCGGGATTGTCCGGAAACCGGAAAAATTGTGAAGATCAATCGGATCAAACTGAGAAGAAAAGTCGTGCACCATTCTGCAAAAATCGCTATAGTTGTTAAGTTGTTGATAATTGATTGAAAATGACCACATCTAGTGGCTCTTTTAATTGGTACCTGGAAAATTTGTTTATTTACAAAATGGTAGGTTTATTCGCAAAAGGTCTTTCTTCTTCATAATGATCTCTAGCGATAGCTTCAAGTTTCGGGGCTCAAAGTTCAATATATTTATATTTATCGCTAGACACAATAGCCATCATACAATTGTAGATTAAGTCATTCTGAACAAAAAGGTCCTTCACTATTTTACAAATAAGTTGACAAATTTTCAAGTTGTCACTTGAAACAACTTCTAGATGTGGTCACTGGAATCGTTAATAACTATCGCGACTTTTGCAAAATGGTACATGACTTTTCTTCTCAGTTTGATCTGATTAATCTTCGCAATTTTTTGTTTCCAAAAAGTCCCGGACACCCTGTATACGTGACTCTTCTGTATATCTTCTGTCTATATTCTGAACTCTCACATACAAAAGCATCTCTGAGAGTAATTTATAAGCTTTTCTAAACTGCGAACCGCTTTTACAGGCTTTTTTATTGATAAAAGTACGTTTGCAGTACGAGCCTTTGTATGTGCATTCCCCTCGACCTTACTTAATCTTATCTGATAGTTTATTAATTTTATATAATACGTCGCGCTAAAAATAGAGATTAATGTAATAATACGTCGCTCTATTTCTCTCACCGAATTCTCGCAAAACACACACACACACACACACAAAATTATTATTTTGTTAATCCTTCTCTACCAGTGTTTGATTGGATGTAACGGAGCTATATTTCAATCATCTGGTAATTATGATACCCATTGTAGCATTTTTAGCGCCAATAGCGCCAGTGTAGTTTCATCAAGTATTTTATGTATTTTGCTAAATATCATACGTTGGTGAAGAAGAGTTGATTAACAACTGATTTGCTCATACATAATTTCTAACTTTTGCTCATTTTCTGTATCGCTAACAAATGCAAAATTTCTGATTTGTCGGATTAACAATAACAATACCATTTATTCCCCTTATAAAATTGTTGATTAGAGCAACAAATCACAAGTGAGAAATCATTTGTTACCACAACAAAGTCACTTGCTGTCCCACATTAGCAAACTATTTGTTGCGGTTACTGCTGTTTCGTTAACTCGATAAAATCTCTCTTCTCAGTGTGAAAAGTGATGAAAAGTGATATTTGTCTGTTGTGTGTAATTCGAATTTTTTCACTTTGCATCTCTTAGCGTCTCTCGAATTTTCTTCCTATCCCCCGAGAAATAACTGGTTGAAATCTGCGGCTCTATCGAATTTGGTAAAATTGTATTTCAGTAAATTATTTTTTAAGAATTTACGCGTGCAGAATCTGCACGCCACGTAGTATTGCCCCTGAAACGTTTTTTTTCAAACTGGTTCCTCCTCGAGTTCACGTAAAGACCGGGGGAAGCGCTGGTTGCACCGAACAATTCCACCTCATGAGTTTTGCATTACAAGCTACGCACAACAATGCCTTGATCGCCTTTTCTTTATGGTTATCGCGAAAATGAGATGTAACGCCTTTCGGTTGTAGGTGCCCACAAACACGCGCGGAAATGTTTCCGTAGTATTTACGATGACGCGCGAGACGGTTTGTGCGAATCGAAGAATGTGGCAAGAAGGTAGGGAGGAGAGGGGGTCTTCCCTGCTCCTTCTTTTAATGAGATAATATATATGCGCGGCTATACGCGCGGCCAGGTAGAATTTGAAACTTAAGCATTATCATAAAAAGCGTCTCGAGAGCGTCGGGCGCAGCGGTAGAAATCAAATTATAGAGCGAAAGATCCGACCTACTTTCCACGTTGCGTGCTCATGAAATAATACCTATATTTAACTATCCTCCTCGAACCATTAAGGCAGCTGTAACGCGGCGAGAAGTTCTATCATTGCCCGGTGAAGTCTTAACGACACGTGTCCTCCGGTCAATGTTTCCCGTCTCCTTGCCCATCCCTTGCCCCCCTTGCGGCGGGATACGCCGAAAAATATCCCGCGGAGAAAAGCCCGCCTCGAGCCCGTCGGAGGCGGAGACAATCCGCGCCTCCGACGAGTCTCCGCGGCAAAAACAATCCTCGCAGGATCTCTCGTCCTGCGCGACCTCGCGACCGGAATCATCACGAATTTCATGCATTTCCCCGAGTCAATCGCGATCGCACTAGCGATCGCGATCGCTAGTCGAATTTATGAAGCAACCCACCCATCCTAATAGGCATTCCCCCAGCAGCGAAACAACAGAAGCAACGGCAGCCACGATCGGCGTGTAATTCACGTGGGGGGAGAGGGAAACGTGCGGCGATCTGATCGCATTCGGCGGGCATTAAAGCGAACGGCGAGCGAAAGAAAAAGTCTCCGAGAGAGACGACTCGGCGCACAGACGGAAAGAATAAGGGCGCCGTGAGCCCTCCGGTAGCGAACGGACGCAGCGAGCGTGGAGCTCGACGAGGGAGGACGGGGGGGAGGGGGGAGCGGGGCGTTCTTCGAGATGGGCGATCGCTCCGCGGCGCGGAATCAATATTGTTGGATTGCTTCGATAACGCCTCGTAAATATAATAAAGCCCTCCAACCCCACCCGTTCGCTTCGCCCTCGCTTCGCGTAGCCCTCGCGCAAGGCAGACGGCTGCCCAACGGTGAGGAGGAGAAGAGTAGAGAGAGAGAGAAAGAGAGAGAAGGAGAGATAATGGTCGGAGCCCTGGGCACCCAGTGAGTCGCTTGGAGGGGGCGCGATGGTAGGGCCCCAACGGCTCTCCCCTTCGCCCTTGTCTCGCTCTACCACCGCGTCGTTTTCGTTCCTTCTCTCTCCGGCCTTCTCTCTCCTCTCTCTCTCTCTCTCTCTCTCCCCCTCCCTCTCTCTCTCTCTCTCTCTCTCTCTCTCTCTCTCTCTGTCTCCCTACCTGTTCGCCTCCCTCTCCGCTTGGCGATCCCTCACCACATAGTAGCGCAGGCAGACCTGTCGGGTACCAGAAGAGCCGACTCAGTGAGTTTCAGCCCGAGCCGGCGAGCGCTTGGCACTCTCCGTCTCTCTTTCTCGTCCATCGCTCGTCCCCGAGCGAGTTCTCGCCAGGGGTCTCGGCTCGGTTCCCCGAGTACGTCCACGGTGATAGCCGAACATTCTTCGGCGGCTGTGTGTGGTCCCCTCGCGGTCCCCCTCAAGCCGGTCGGGTCCTGTGCGGTCCGAGGAAAACGGCCGCGACACGAAGCATCGGCGAACGTCGCTGGGGAAAGGGGGCACTCGGACGGACTTTTCCGGAGTTCGAGCGAGGCTGTGTCCGCGTGTTCCCCGCGAAGTCTCCAAGACCGTCGAGCCGGGTGACCGCTCGGGTGGGTGGTGGGTGGTGGTTGGTTGATCGAGGGAGGTCGGCCGAGGGTTTCCGAGGTGCGACTCGACGACGAGCGCATTCCGGCCGGTGAGATAATCAGCCGACCGGGCCAGCCGTACCGCGCGCGGAGACTTCGACGACCGATACGGAGGATGTCACGCTCCATGGACCACCCTGGCTGCCGCGGCCGTCGCCGTGTCGCGGTGGCGATGAGCCCGCCGGCGAGCTTGCGGTGAAACGCGGCGTCGCGTGTGCGCGTTGCCTCCCCTCTGTTCCCTCGTGTTCCCAGTTGCGTAGTGAACGACGGTAACAGTGTGACGACTATCTCTCTCTCTCTCTCTTTCTCTCTCTCTCTCTCTCTCTCTCTCTCTCTCTCTCTCTCTTCCTGGACGAGTGTCATTGGCGTGTCAATGAGGCTTCTTCAAGGACGTGAAACGACGACGTCGCTCGCAACGGAACGTAGCTGACGCGGCGAGATTGGTTTCTTCTTCGAGTGATGATCGCGGAAGAGGGGATCGCAGTTTCTTCATCTTCTTCTTGTTATTGTGTTGTTATTGTCGAATCGATCGGCGGACGTGTGGTTTACTAGAGCTAGCGAGAGAGAGAGAGAGAGTCAGCTCTGAGAGGCGACGGGTCTCGCGCTTTCTCCGTCTCTTGTATTTTCGCACGACGGGACGCCCGTGGGAAGTTTCGCCACCAATCACGGATTAACGCACGCCGGAAATCGCAGCATGGAAGACATAAGCGTGAGTACTCGGCTGTAATCGCCTCTCTTGTCGCTGCGCGCTCGTTAAAGCGGAGACCAAGCGGCCACGGCTCACCGAATGCCGTTCGCCGTGAAAAGTGAAAATTCATCGCGCAATTTCCACGGCCCTGTGATTCAGCCGGGCCGTTCGCGACAACCTCATGCACAGGCGAGCACAGCGTGTGTGCTCCTCCTCTAAGGGTTGTTCTCTCTCGTCGAATTTTGCGATGCTTGCGCTAAAGCGGATAAACGTGTCGCGCCCCTTCTTCTCCTGGTTTGGTCTCGTGCTTTCTGTTTGTGTCGCGTCACTTCCAACACGCGATATTTATTCGTCCTCGTATAAATCGTCGCGTGGCACTTCTCAACTTTTGTCTTCACATTTCACTTTTCCGGCCCACCCAGGTCGGCACCTCGCTCGTACGATCGTCACATTTTACATTTTACCGTCTACGCCGCAGTAAACTTGCAACTTATCGCGAGCATACAACTTGCTTGCAGCGATAAAATATTCACGCGCGATACGATTCAATTATGTTATCTTTATGATCGACTCACTGGGGGTCGCGGGCGACCAACCCTCCCGGCGAAGGGCGAGCTGACGGTCGCCGGTGATTTCCGCGGCGATCGACGTGTGTTAATCAAGCCCGGTCGACCGCACCTGATCTACACGTCGCAAGCACATTCCTGTCTTCACCGAGGACAACGAGCTGCGCTATTTACCTCGGATACGCCGGAGCGACGTTTACACCGAAGTCCCATCGCGCGGGCATCGTGGCGAATCGAGCGAGCGTCAAGGCGCGCGCGACATTAGACGGCTAAGGGGGGAATTTCCGCCGGCGCGGCGAGGCGCAAAAAAGCGAACCTGCCGTCGAGCCGGCGAGCAGGCCGGGGATGAATTCGGCCGCTCGTTACACCCCGGCCGATTAGTCTCGGGAGACGACGACGCGCCAGCCGGCCCGGACGGGGCCGACAGATCATCGCGGCGTGTGTGTGCGTGCGTGCGTGCGTGCGTGCGTGCGTGCGTGTGCGCAGCGAGGAGGCGAGCGGCAGCGCGCGATCTCCGGCGGGCTTATTAGCTCGCATTGCTCGACTCTGGCGCGTCTACCGCGGCCGCGGGACAATGCGCCCGAGGATTGCATATTGTTGTTTATATTTACGCGTCGCGGCATAAATCTTCGTTTAAGTCGCATTCAGCCGCGCCATAACGCCGGAGCGCGGCCGCTCGCTCGTCCTTCGTCCGCTCGCGATCAGCCTTGCGAGCGAAGCGCGCGCGCGTGGTCTTCACGGATAACGCGCGGTCTTCATTAAAGCCGAACTTCTTTGCGTGCCGGCCGGCCATTAAGGGCGAAGGACCGGCCTACGACTAATTTGTAGTGTAAATGAGATCTCGGGGGTCGTTACACACGTGAAACAACGTCATCCGCGGCCGAGAGAGCGCCGCGAGCGTCGTCGGCCGGCGTTGCGGACCGGGAGATCGGTAACGCAAATAAACAATCCTCACATTCTTTTCGCGTACATGCGTGCGAAAGTGCAACGCGTGTTCGGTCGGGCGCAAAAATCGCAGCCGGGCATTCTTTCGGTCGGAACACGCTCTCTCCGCACACGCTCGCCGCACAGTGGATCGAAACGGTGTGAAAAAGGTGGACATCGAGCCAAAAATAAAAGTTCGAATTTCACAACTTCATCTACTAGAATGTATTGTAAGATAGTTCTAATATATGACCCGAATGCAGAAGATATAAAGTAATGATACATAATATAGATACTGTAAGCGTCCAAAGTCTCGAGTTTCTGCGGTGAGTAAAATGCGTTAAGCATAAGTCGTCCATTTGTGTTCGCTGTATTTTATATAAATAATTATCGATCCTTGTCAGCCTTATAGTACACAATTCTATGGTTCTTCAAGAACATTTTTATCCGTTCATCATATTCGTTACCAGATTTTCTTATATTTTGCGCATTTTTCTCTATGACGAATTAGAACGAAATCGTAACTCAACTCATACATATTTAGTGAATAATTAAAAAAAATGTCCATATTTGTCCAAGATCTACTAAATAGGATTTAAAAAAATCATTCGTGTAGTAAAAATCCGTATAGGTTTCAGCTGCGATCTCGTGCGATCTTTTCTCCTGTACATCGTATAGTGGACAGAAACCATCTAACCTATTATGAGACAGAATTTCGCCCAGAAATCATTTGTAGTGAAAATTTCAGTAAAATTTCTGTTTATATTTCCATAATATATTTATAACAATATTTTTTTTTATTCAATTTTAAATATTCCTGTTTGGTTTCAAGTCAGCGTCACGTAGATAAGATAAGAAACAAGACATAAATTTTTTTCAATCTGTTGCAACGGATTGAAAAAGAATCGCAAAATTTCGTCGAATAGTCCTTTCGTTTAAGCCAGTTTTATACACACGTAATTAAAGGATTTGCGAAGAACCTCTATGCTGTATTGTTATCCTTGGCTGTTTTCACGAATTTTGTTTCACAAAATCCACCAGTCTTGCAATTTTCTCTCGTGTTTTCATACAGATTGTTTAGTTTTAAAATTTTCAAAAATATGTAACAAATATTTTATTGATTGAATTCATGCAAGAAGATTTGATATAACTTGCCCAAAGCTAGCTTGTTCCTTACCTTCACGTGGTGCTAGCTGTTGAAACCGAATAGGAACACTATATATTTATTAATATATTCGTTACAATACTATTATTATCAAAATGGTATACAAAAATATTATAAATAAAATATTTTATGAGAATTAATTTCATTAAAACTTATTCCTGCACAAAATTTTGTTTCCGAGCAGAATTTTAGTCGATGTCCACAGAATTTGAAGTTTCGATCCACTTTGCTCCGTGCGTCGAGCGGCACTCTCGCGAGATTAAGACATTATTCATAGGAGGACGCGCTCGGATCGGGGCATTCCGCCCCACGTGTATGGTAATGCGACGCGCTGCTTTCGAAATTGTCTATGCGTGCGCGAAAGCCGGACGGCTGAGCCGTGATGAGCACCTTCGCGGGATCGCGGCGCGCGGCAATTTTCGCCGACTAACTGACCTGCCCTGTTTATGCAGCGCGGGCCGATCGGAGCGGCCATCCGCGCGAGCATTTAGCGTGGCCGAGAGTGGCTGTGTAATATTTCGCCTAGGCGCTCGCCGGGATAGCTCGGAATAGCGCGGCTGTATCGGTGAATTACGGCCATTAAATTATGAAGATAGCGGCCTGCGCGCGCGAGAGAGAAAGAGAGAGAGAGAGAGAGAGAGAGAGAGCGCGTTTTACGAGAATGATTTCGCCGCGTGAAGGGGAATTTATTCGCCGCGCGAACGTTGATCCTTCCGCGCCGGTAATGGCGCGCAGCCTGGCAGCGCCCCAGTGATGCGACTCGATCGCGGATCGCGTCGAGCGCGACGGCGGCGCCTGGGGAGCGACATCCTTCAGCGTGATCGACGGTCCGCTTTACGCAGTTTGATCGCGTCGATATCCCGAAAAACGCGGCCCTCACCAATTAGAAAATCTACGACGTTGGCCCGTGCGCGCTCGTAATCGCCTCATTAGAGCTTTATGCTCACCTATTTACGACATGTTCGCTTCGGGAATGTGACAGAAACGGCCAATGCTACATCGATGCTGAAACTTCTTGATATCCATGTCCTTGATACGTTGGGCAACGCGCACACACACACACACATTCATCCAACATTCTACGACAATGCGACACCGAATGTGTGAAAATCTCGCGGTACCGACTTCTTCTGTGTGTGTGTGTGTGTATGTGCTCCTTCCCCCCCTCCAAAGTTAAACGCGAAATTAACCTTTTCGATACGGCGCTTGATCGTCGCATAGTGTTACCTGACAGCCGACAGCAAGCGTAGCGCGAGATACTTTGATATTAGGTTTCCAAGAAGTGCTGTTTTCAATCAATAGAGACAAATAATAAGCTTTCGTATTAATTCATTTTCGTAAGTGTTGTATACCGGTAAATTTTCTGTCAAATAAGCTTTCGTTTGAGCATACATAACTACGTTTTTAATTGATAGGATGCGCATGCGCAATTTGCTAATGACAAAACAACAGAAACAACAGAAACTTTCTTTACTTAATATACAGGGTGGGAGAAAAATGTCAGACCCCCTAAATAACCTTGAAAATATGCAAGAAAGAAAAAATATATGAAGTAAGGTTGTAAGGTTTTGAGTAACGCATTACATAGCGATATTAACATGACCTTGAACCTTGAGTGTTATGACCTTTGGAAATTTCCAAATCGTCATGTTAGAAAAAGTTGGGGCACTATTTTAACATTATATTCTTGAAGCCAAATGGAGCAAAAAAGTCTAGTACCACTTTTCCTTCCGACAAATAATTACCGAAATATCGTAAGCCAAATATTGAAATTACTAAATTTTCCTTAAATGTCTCAAAAGATATTAGACAAATAAAAAAATGTTTCAGACAAAATTTGTTCAAATTAATTGGTAAAAAAGGATGATTTACGAAAAATTAGGTTTCTATTTAAAAAATTCAAAGTGACCTTCCCGTAACCTTGACGACGCTGTTCAAGATTATACTAGTACTGCTGTGCATACAATTTGCTTTTAATAAGAAAAGAAAATAACTCTGAAAGTTCAAGTAAAAAATTTAAATATGTATATATAAACATAAAATAAATAAACACAAGCGTAAACAACAAGTAAACATAAAGCTCGACGTGAAAAATTTAAAAACACGGAACCATGCACAAACCAACAACATCGATTACAACAGTTTCAATAAATTGGCCGTTTGAAATGTTGTAACAAACGTTGGCATGCATTTGGCGACTGTCGACCAAAGTCAATGATCATTGCGAAGAGGCTAAACTCGACGACACGTCGCACAGTGTGGCCAGATTACATTCTTCAAAATTCTCTAGAGACCTGAATTTCCAACCGATCATCGAAACACCAATGGATGAGGTTGATCCTGAAATAAATCCCAAAGAGATCTGT